CTGTGCCGGGGCACCGGGGTGGGTCGCCGACAGGCCAAAGGAGGGGCCCTGAGACAGAATGGGGGACGTGACTCGTTAGGAAAAGTGTGACAGGAGGTCAGTGCCCACTCCAGGAAGCGTTCGGTGGTGACAGGCTGACGAGGTCTCTGTCCCCCAAGGTGCTTCACTAGGCAGCACTTCCTTCCCCTCCTTCATGGTGTGGTTGTCTTTCTTTTTGGGGGCCCCAGGGAGTGAACTTGGGGCACTCGCCCACTGAGCCACATCCCCAGCCCTATTTTATTTTATTTTTTTGTATTTTATTCAGAGACAAGGTCTCTGAATAATGAGTTGCTTAGGGCCTCGCCGTTGCTGAGGCTGGCTTTGAACTCCCGATCCTCCTGCCTCAGCCTCGCAAGCTCCTGCGACTACAGGCCTGCGCCCGACGCCCGGCTGGCTCACGGTGGTTTGCTCAGTGGTGTCCGGCTGAACGAGGGACCCAGCTGCTGGCCTGCTCTCACCAGAGAGGGTCTGGACCTTAGGCTGCAGAAGCAGTGACGTCGTCAGCGTGATCTTGGGTGACCCCAAGGAGCGACTGTCCTGGCAGCTCTGCGCAGACAACAGACGCCCCCTGGCTCCCCGCGCGCCTACGAGGAAGCCGCGGCCTTCGGGATGATCCGTGTCTGCACCGTCCAGCCCGGGCTTCCCTCCCTGTTCCCTTAACTTGGATTTGGGGGAACAGATAGGAGGCCTTCGGGACACTACGATTAGGCAGAGTCTTTGCAAAGGTCACATTAAGGCTCCYGAGAGGAGAGAGGACCTGGAACCCTCGGGATGGACCCAGATGTCACCACCAATGTCCACGCAAGGGAGAGGCGAAGGCAGCTCYGACACATCAAATGTCCCCACCGAGGCAGAGACAGGAGGGCAGCAGCCCCCAGAAACTGGAAGAGGCAGGGGACAGACCCCCCCAGCCTTTGAGGAAGGCGCGGTGGCTCTGCTGCCACCTGGGTTTCCGCCCAGGGAAGCTGACTTGGGCCCCTGGGCTCTGGATCTCWGAGGGAGTCCGTCTGCGCTGTTTCAAGTCCCCTGGTCGGTGGTCACGAGTCACAGCTGCCCCGGGCACGTCCGCGTGGTCTCTGGGGAGGGCGACGGGCGTGAGGCTGGGTCAGCAGGGAGGTCTCTCTCGAGGGGAGGCGACAGAGTCAGAGCGTCCTGGAGAAGCCCCCGCCCGAGAGGCCCCGCGTCCCTGCCGTGGGCAGCAAGGCGAGAGCTGGTCGGGGACACGCCGCAGCTCAAGGAAGACGTCATTCGATGGTTCTCAGTGAGCACATCGCCCTTTGGCGGTCCCTGCTTGGAAAGCCCCTGTCACCCAGTCACGGGTCGGCTGCTTGTCATTGGCTGGGGTCAGGTTTGTCTACCAGCAGCATTTGTCAGAAGTGACCCGAGTTCCACTTCACTTACGTTGGCGGATCAAGCCAGACCCAGGTCTGGTTGGCCTGGAGGCTGGGTCTGGTTGGACGCCGCAGGCCCGGCCTCTGTGCAGTCCACTTCAGGGCCCCCTCAGAGCTGTCCCCGGTGCCCAGGATCAGCCGGGGTGGTTCCCTGCTGTGTGCACCTCCCGTGACCCAAGGGCTGCTGTGCCCCCAGCCAACCTCCCCGAAGCCCCAGGAGTCTGGTGCCTGCCGAGGCCCCTTGGCCGCTCCACGACCGACACCCTCCAGGTCTGTGGTCCCTCCTGGGCCACAGGAGACACTCTGCTCCTCTACCCCAGCCTACTCTGGGCGTCCGAAGAGGCCGATCCTCTTCAGAGAGCCATGTTTTAATTCAGGTGTGGCTTATGGGGTGGTGGKGGGGTACCTGGGATTGAACTCAGGGGCACTCCACCACGGAGCCACATCCCCAGCCTTTTCAGTATTTGATTTAGAGACAGAGTCTCACTGAGTTGCTCAGCGCCTCACTAAATTGCTGAGGTTGGCTTTGAACTTGCAATCCTCTGGCTTCCGCCTCCTGAGCCTCCYGTGCCACTGCATCCGGCTTAATTCGAGTTTTGTGGATCCCCTTTTCTTGGTGGACAAAGACAGAGAGAGGCCTTTGAAGAAAACACTCATTTTTTAAAATGGTGTTCGAACACCCCAGATAACAGGATTCACCATTTTTAAGTAGACAGCTCAGAGTGTCAAGTATCTTCACATGATTGTGAAATAGATCTCAGAATTTTTTCATATGGAAAGTCTAAGACTCTATGCCCATCCAACAAGGTCCCTCTTCTCCTTCCCCTTCTGCTTTCTGTTTCTGTGAATTTGACAACTACAGATGCCTCACCTAAGTGGAATTACACAGCACTGGTCTTCTTGGGCTGACTCATTTTGCTGAACATAATATCCTCAAGTTCAATCATGTGGTAGCATGAAACAAGATTTTCTTCTTTTTTAAGGCTGCATAATATTTCAGAGTACTACATATATATCACATTTGGCTTATCTGTTCATTCAATGATGGGCACTGGGGCTGCTTCCACCCTTGGCCATGTGCATAGTGCTGCTACGAATATGGGTGTGCAAATCTCTCTCTGAGGACTTCCTTTCTATTTTTTTTTTTTTTCGTGGTGCTGGGGATTGAACCCGGGGCCTTGTGCATGCCAGGCCTGTGCTCTACCCACGGGGCTCTATCCCCGGCCATCTGCCTTTCTCTGGGTGCTGAAGATCAAGCCCAGGGACCTGCGACCACTGAAACACATCCCCAGCCCTTTTTATTTTATTTTTTTAAAATTTTGAGACAGGGTCTTGCTACGTTGCTTAAGTCCCTGTGAAGTTGAGAGGCTGGCCTTGAACTTGCAATCCTCCTGTCTCAGCCTCCTGAGTCGCTGGGATTACAGGTGGGGACCATGTGCCTGGCTATTTCTGATTTTTGGAGGAAGCTCCACACTGTTCTTGATAGCAGTTGTGATTGTTTATAGCGTGTGGTGGTTGGCTATTTGTATGTGACATTGAGAGAAATGTCTATTTAAGTCCTTTGCCCATTTAAACACGTTTTTTTTTCAGTTGTAGATGGACACATCAGTACCTTTATTTATCATTATGTGGTGCTGAGGACGGAACCCAGGGCCTCACAATGCAAGGCCTGTGCTCTACCACTGAGCCACAGCCCCAGGCCCAGCATTTTTTAAAATTTATTTAAATTTTTTGGTGTCAAACCTTGGACTTGGCCCAATTTAATTTCTTTTTTTTTTCTTTTCTTTTTTTTTTTTTTTAGTCATCGAGGTGTAGGAATTCTTCCTATGTTCTATTGACCTCTTAAGGGATATATGATTTTCAAATATTTTCTTCCCTTTTGTGAGTGGGTGTTAATTACTCCATTGGAGTCTTTTTAAAAAAAACTTTTATTTTATGTCTGGGGTACTGGGGATGGGGCTCAGGGGCCCTCGACCCCTGAGCCCCATCCCTCGCCCTATTTTGTATTTTATTTAGAGACAGGGTCTCACTGAGTCGCTTAGCGCCTCACTTTTGCTGAGGCTGGCTTTGAACTTGCGATCCTCCTGCCTCCCCAGTCRCATGGGCCACTGTGCCAGGCAACAATTTTATTTACTTATTCAATTTTTTTGGCTTGCCTTTTTAAAATATTTTTTTCAGTTGTCGATGGACCTTTGTTTTATCCGTTTATTGATACGCGGTGCTGAGAATCGAACCCAGGGCGGCTCACACGCGTGAGCTTTACCACGAGCCACGCCCCAGCCCCAGCCCGGACTCTCGAAGTCTGTCCTTCCCATCTCACGTTTGCCATGGAAACTCGGCAGCGTCTGGGTGTTTTCTGGGTTTCTCGGACTCTAGGGAGCCACACGCTGCTCTCAATTTTCAGGTTTTTATTTTCAACAGAAGAATAGAAATCCTGATGTCAAAGCTATAAAAAAACAAGACTCAAAAAAGACCACGGAGATGGGTGACAAGTTGGGCGTCCCCCACCCAGAGTGTCTGGGGCCAGAAGCGTTTCCTATTCCAGGGTCGTKTTTAGAGGCCAGAATATTGACATGGACCTAACCAGTGAAGTGTCCCTCATCCCCAAACCCGAGAGTCTCTGAGCACCGTGCTGGCACTTAGACTCCATTCCCCAGAAATCCGTCGCTCCTGGTGTGTACCTGCCCGGGTCCAGGTGGCCAGTGGGACATCGGCAAACCCAGAAGAGTGGACGGGACACTGGAGCGCATGGGACCCAGCGGTGACATTCCACGCCCTCGGGTTCTTGCGTGATCTGCCACCTTTTCCCCAAAGGACACTCCAACGCGAAGGGAAATGACATTCTCAGGCCCACGGGGCTCTCGGAGTGGACCCCACCCTGCGGCGTCTCCTGAGAAACCGGAGGCCACATACTTGGCCTCTGGACCTGCTCCTCCTGCCCTTCATCCTGTTTTTTTTTAATTCCACGTTTTGTAATGAGACTCACATCCAGAGAGATGTCTTTCAGACACATTCCTCAAATGACCAAAGGAACACCCGCCTGCCAGGAGCTGCCCGTGACTGTGGGCACTGGGTTCCGGGTGCCCGTCGGCCCTCTCCCCTCCCCCGTCCCGGTTCTGCGGGAAGCTCAGGGCGACGTGAGGTTCTACGGGCTGGAACAGGCCYGGGAGCCAGGACACACGGTGACCTCGGCCTCAGCTCCTCCTGGAGGCACTTTTGAACCTGTAGCCGTCAGTTCCACCTGGCAGAGGAACGAACGAGCGAGCCATGGGCGAGCTTGGGTGTTGGCAAAGCGTGGCCGTCAAAGGGATCCCACTGGCGGCTTCTCTGAGCTGAGCTGGGGTGCTGGAGCCATCTTGGAACATGGCGAGGGGCCCAGGGTGAGGCCACGAGGCACTGCTGGGGACACTGGCCACCCCTGGGGAACCTGGCCATCCCCAACGACACGGGGTGCCACACGCAGGGGTGGGGGAGGGGACCAGCCACCCCTGGCCGAGGGTTCTTCCAGGGGAGGCCACCAGGGGAGGCCACCAGGGGAGTCTGGCAGGGGAGTCTGGCAGGTGGGGAGGCTCAGGGCACCATGTGCCACCACTTGAAGGAGAAGGGCTTCCGGCGCACGTTGGTGCCGCAGTGGACCTCGCCGTGGCGCACGTGGTAGGTGTAGAAGTCGTCGATGAAGGTGCAGTGCAGCCCCAGCGGCTCCAGCAGGGCGCGCACCTCCTCCTCCAGGCAGCAGCGGCCGTTGACGAGGGGCCCGAAGGGCTTGGGGATGCCCAGGTGCTTCCCCAGCACCAGCATGTTCACCTGCGGGGGGGGGGGGGTCCAGGTGAGGGCCGCGCCCGTGTCCCCTCCCTCCACACTTTACAGGCGAGGAACCGAGGTCCAGACAGGGACACTAGGTGGTCTAAGGCCACCGGCCAGGCCAGGGCTGGCGCAGGGGCCTGCGGGACTCCAGGGCCGWGCTCCTAACACAACACTGTGCTGTCCTCCCTCAGCCACCGTCTGCAAACTCTGTCACCAAGGCCCAGCGCTGACACGCCCCCTGGGCCCCACCCCCTGGGSTCCTGCAGTCCGTCCCTCCCATCCGTGTCGGTGCCTGGCGCACCGTGGGGAGGCCGAGGCCTGGGAGCCCTTTCTAGCAGCATGACATCTGTCGATGGCACCGGGAGGTGGGGACTTGGGGCCCATGTGAGTGTGGGTTCCAGCGCCACTCCTCCAAAGCTGTGTCACCTTGCGTGGGTCACTTCACCTTTCTGAGCCACATCAAGCAAAGGAGCCCAAATGCGCACTGGGCCCGAGGCGGGCGCACAGTCAGCCTCCTGGGCCGCGAGCCCTGGAGAGGGCGCCTCCCTCTCTGTCGGCCACGTCAGGGCCTCGGTGGCTGTCTCTCGGCCTGTGGTGCCCCCACCCCTGCCTCTCCCCAGGGGCTCTGGGAGCCTGTGCCGGCTCGGCTCGTTCCTGCTCCCCCAGGGGCCTGCCACCCGCGGCCGATCCCTTCCCTGAGACGCCTGGCCCCGTCCCCAGGGCCTGCTGCGCTCCTTCCCGCACCAGGAAGCCAGGCTGGGCCAGGCGGGAGAGGAAACCCAGGGCCAGGGCTCGGGAAAGAGGGGCTCCCCCAGCCCCAGCCCCAGCCCCCTCTAGGCCTGGGAACGYGTCCTTCCCAGCAGAACCCTCTGCAGAGCCTCCGCGCACAAAGCAGGGGCCACCAGGACCCTCAGACTTCAGCCCCTGCCTGGGCACCCAGGGCCCTGGGGAACCCAGTTTGCAAACCTCCACGAGGGACGCTGGCTCCTCCTGAACCGGGCCCCTGGCACCAGGAGACCCGGGTGCAGCCTCCGTCTGGCCCTGGGGCATCCTTTGATGAGGGGGACCACTGCCYGCCCTTCAGAAACGGGGTCCAGCCTCGCCCCGGGCGCAGCCAGAGCCCAGCCGAAGGTGCTGCTCCACCTGGGTCCCCTTCRTGGCACTGAGGAAACTGGGAGCTTGACCCTGCCCCTCCCTGACCCCTGAAGGGGACCTAGGGACCGTGGCTCTACCTCCCTCTCCCTCTCCCTCTCCTCTGCCAGCTGTGTGTCCTGGTGCCAGAGACCTCACCTCTCTGTGCCTCATCTGCAAAGCGGAGGCGAGGGCAGGTCGCAGCACTGTCCTGAGAGGCCAGGAGGGGCTCTGCGAGCTGCCCAGGGCCACGCAACCCCTGAGCCCGGGGACCCTCCGAGCCCCGCTGGCCCTCCAGCCGCCTGCTCGGCACCTGGGTTCGAGGCCACCTGCCGAGGTGCGCGTGGCTTTCCCCCCCTCACCATGTTTGGGAAGAAGGCCTCAGCCTTGGGGGTCCCTCTGGAGTTCTTCACCAGCCTGAAGAGCTGCGGCACGTCCACGATGTCCCCCTCGGCCAGCCCCAGCTCCCGCTTCAGCACCTGGCGGTTCCAGTCGATGCAGCTCTGGGGAGAGGGGAGGTGGCAGTCGGTGGGGGAGGGGAGCATGGGGCCGAGGCCCCCAGACCCAAGGCAGGGCCAGAGGGGGGGCGCGGGAAGGTGACTGGTGGACCCGGGGCTCCCTGGCATGGAGAGCCGCCAGCCAGCGCCCTCAGGGACCCCAGGGCCACGCTGCCTGTGGGGGCCCCTGCCTTCTGCCTGGGGGCGGGGCAGGGCAGCTCGGGGGCAGCTGGGGGCAGCTGGGGGCAGCTGGGGGCAGCTGGGGCACCGGACTCCGCACCTCCACGTAGGAGTTGTGTTCTCTCAGCTTCTTGTTGGACAGAATGTCCTTTATCTTCTGCTGCTTTTTTTCTGTCACGGAGAAAAAAGGGGGAAAAACTGAGTCAGAGGTCGACACCCCTTCTGTCTCTGGCCGCGGGGACTCAGCGTTCCCATCTGTGAAACGGGGACAGCCACGGTCCCCCGCAGGCAGGTCCGCTCTGAGCCTGTGAGGGACGGTCTGTCACAGACACGGGGACAGCGAGGGACGGATCCCTGAGACTGTGCCTCCCACCCCCTGAGATCCCCGGTCTCCGGAGATCCCACTTAGAGAGGAGGACGCAGGCCAGGGTGTGGTCAGTGACAGAGCCTGGGCCCCAGGACCAGGCCCTGGGCGCCGTCCTCAGCACTCCAAAAACAGGAAAAAAAAGAGCCGGTTCTGCCGAGTTCTCTCAACCTCTGACCCGGCCCACGTTGGTAGGATTTATTGAAGAAATCCAGTCTCATCCTGTGCTCAGGGGCGCTGAACGTCTCAGGTCCTCGGACGCTTCTTGCTCTCTCCTGCCTCTGGGCCTTTGCACGTTCTGTTCCCCGTGGCGCATCTCCCTCCACCTCGTCCCCCTGCCAGCTCTCGCCTCCTCCAGGGAGCCCTCCCGGGGCCCCACCAGAGAGCTCCGGGGCCCTCTGCTCTGTCCACGGGCGTCCCCAGCACTAGGCACAGTGCCTGGTGTGCACAGTAGGTGCTCAGAACAGGTCTGGGCCTGGGGGTCCCTCCCGGCAGTAGAAGGCCATGTGACGGCAGCAGGGGACGGCCACTTACTCTTGACCCCTTGGAACAGCAGCAGCTCCCCGTGGCCCTCCTCCTGCTTCTCCTGGAACAGCCGGTAGCAGGACCTGGGGCTGGCCAGCAGCAGCCGGAAGCCCTGGGYGGAAACACGTGGAGGGCAGCTTGTCCCCGGCCGCCAGGCCCTCCTGCTGGGGGCTGTGGACTTGGCCCGGCTCAGTCCCTGGGCCCTACCTTCCTGTCGGGCGCAGGGACGAAGCTCAGGAACTCGTCGATGTGCCCCACGGACAGCCAGTCGGAGTACAGCGTCACGGGGGCCTGCACCCGCTGGGCGCCCAGGAAGTCCTGCAGGGTCTGGTGCACCTCCCGGCTGTCGCAGCTGCAGGGATGGAGGGTGTGAGGGGAGGGGAGTGGGGGCCTTATCATGTCCCTTCACACCTGAGGGACTTAGGAATTGTCATTCCACTTTCACGGAGGGGAAACCGAGGCACAGGGTCACTAACACGGAGCCTAGCACTGCCCGTGGGACCAGCCCAGCTGCTGGTGTGATGGGGAAGCACAGGATTCGAACCCAGTGCAGCCAAAGTTGGCAATCCCTATTAGCTGTGCAGCATGGGGGACGTGACTTCACCTCTCTGAGCTTCTCTCTTCTCCTGCAAGCCCTGTGTGAGTCAGCCCCTGGCTCTTTCTCAGTCTGTTCAGCTGCCCTGGCCTTCTGGAACACACCAAGCTCATTCCTGCCTCAGGGCCTTTGCACGCACTCTGTCAGCCACCAGGACATTCTACCCCAGGTGTCCCCACAGCCGTGTCCTTCTTGTCATCAGGACTCAGCTCCAAAGAGCCTCCTCCAGTCAGGCCTCCCTGCCACCCTCGCCCAGGCCCAGTCCTCTCTGCCCTTTCTGTTTTCTCACTTTTTGAGATGACTATTATCYGTCTCCCACAAGCACCGTGGCCGGGACCTGCCTTGTCATTCACGGCTGCGCCCCCAGCTCCTGGCACGTGACAGGGGTAAGCCGCAGAGCTGGACCGCTGTCTGGGGCTCCAACCCGKGTTCCCCGCCACCCTCCCCTCCTCTCTGGCTCCCTAAGGTTTCTCCAGCCTCTGGGCTGGGAGTGGGCAGGGGACACTTCCGCCTGCCCTTGGCTTTTCCGTGGCACCCGGGTCCTGGCCACCCGGTGTCCCTGCCCTTCTCACCTGGGGTAGCCGCTGTTCCCGATGAGAATCCTGCCCAGCGGGTACCGCTTCCCCCCGACRGTGACCGGGGGGCTCACTTCCAGGTTCCCAAAGGAGTCCAGCCCGGTGATCTCCTCCGTCTGGGGCCCGCGGGTCACGTAGCCAAAGTTTGGACCCTGAGGGGAGGAGAGCCCAGAGTTAGAGGCCGTGGGGAGCGGGTCTAGGGGTGAGCCTCGTCACGGGAAGGATCCAGTCACCAGCTCCAGGTACAGAGCAGGGGCCGCTCTTCCTGGGGGATGTGGCGGGGATTTTGAATCATTCGGGGGGCAAGGAAGGGAACTGGCGTTGGCGGCATCCTGAGCCCGTGGCAGCTGCTTTGTRAGCCATCACCTGGGGGTAGTGACGAATCTGCAAACTTTCCTTTTTATCTCTATTTTGCAGAAGAAGAGACTGAGGTCAGAGTGGGGATGGGCTTCCTCTGGTCCTGTATCCAGCTGGTGAAGGAATGGAACTTGAACTATCCTGATGGGTGCCCTGGGTCCACACTGAGCTGATCCTGCTCTTGGGCTGGAACGAACTCCTCAGCATGGCTTCAGTGTCTCCACGAGGGTCCTCGTGAGAGGGCTGTTTTCTCGTCCCTTGCGGCTCCTAGGGGCCRGCTGGGCCGTGGCTCCTTCTCCATCTTCCAAGCCAGACCCTCCGGTCTCTGCCTCCCCGCCCACCCCTCCTCTCGCCCTCTCATGAGGAGTGTTGAGTTTACATGGACCCCCACCCCATTATCCAGGATTCAGGCTCCTAACTTCCTAACGTCACACACACCGGTGACGTCCCTCCTGCCACCAAAAGGCTCTGCAGATGGGGGACAGACATATGGGAGGGCCATGAGCAGTCTGTCCCACCCCCAAAGAGGCTGCAGCCCTAGCCCCACCCCGCGGCCAATCAACTGTCCGCACGGCGGGTCTCCATGATGCCACCGCAGGACCCCCCTGGTGTGTGTTTTGGGGGAGACGCGTCATCTCCTGGGGTCTTTGAGTCCATGAGTTTTAAAGCCATCATTTGCAGTTGTTCTGGTCAAGGTCCCCGTGAGCACCAGGCCACAGCCACCAGCAGCAGCCGGGTCACTTGGTCTCGCCCATGTTTTCAGCTCCTGGCTTCCAGGACACCGTGAGCTCAGGTCACCTCCTACCTCCCGGTGGCTCCTTCTCGGCCTCCTTGGCACGGGCACAGGGCCAGGCCTGTCCTGGGTCTCCTGTGTTCTCCAGTTTCACTGGCTCTTGGCTGGGTCCTGGCTCATCCCGTGAAATTCCACCCGCGAGCTGATAACGCCGGCGTTTTTATCCCCAGCGCCCGCTGCTCTCCAAACGCCTGCCGCTCGCCCCTGCCCCACGGAGGCTGAGAAGAGAGGCTGGAGTCCAAGAGCTAGGGGTTGGGAGGGGTCTCCTTCAGATGCGGAGGGAGCAGGGCTTGAGGCTGAGAGGTGAACTCCAGCCCCGGAGCAGGGAAGAACCTTCCTGGCAGAGAGACTGGCACGTGCAAAGGTCCTGAGATGAGGGAGAGGTGGCCGAGGTGAAGCACGGGAAGAGCCTGGGGGGCTGGAGCAGGCGAGGGACAGAGAGAGGCCAGCCGTGATGCTGGAGGAACGGCCGAGTCGGCAGCTGGTGGCGCCTGGACCTGGACTCTGGATCTTCTCACTCTAAGTGATTCGGGTCGGGATCTGCTTAGCCAGAGGCCCTGCAGCCCCGTCCTCAAGGCTGTCTGCAGGGGAGGCGGGAGGCCGTGTGAGGTCTGTCCGCTGGACTCCCGAGGTTCCGTTCATGACATCGAAGAACTGGCCGTGGTCACTCTCAGGGTGTCCAAGTAGGAGCCAGGGCCACGGAGGGCCACTGAGCAGGGTGGACTGAGGAGGGGCGCTGGCACAGTGGAGCTGGCTGGTGGGTGCCGATGGTCAGTGCAGGCGCGGCCAGGAGGTGAGGGCAGGTGCGGCCAGGGAGGGGAGGCGGGTGCTGACCAGACCCGGCCTCCGTTCCAAAGCCTCAGGCGTGGGAGGGGCCGCCCCTCCTGCCCTGGGGGAGTAGGAGGCTCCACTCACCCTGGCCAACCTCGTGCCCACTCCCCTTCCTCATTTTCTCTGGGTGCCGGGGCCCAGAGTGCAGGCCTGGGGTCCTCCTGGGGAAGCGGGAGGTGGGGTGGGGAAGGGCCAGCTCTCGGAGCTGGACGGGCCTGGTTTGAATCCTGACTTCTCCACTCCGAGCCTCAGTTTCTTCATCTGTAAAATGGGCCTACCGATGACCTCTCCAGAAAACGTGGACAAGTGAGTCGGTGCAGGCGAGAGCTCCGCCCCGCGTGCGACCCAGCCTCGTGCTCCATGAGTGCGATCATTGTTATTATTTTTYAATTATTATTCTGTGCTGAGTGTGCACCAACCTGCCAGCTCAGTCGAGCAACAAATGACACACTGACTCATCAGCACTGTCACTTCCCACTCCCACGTGTGGCAGCGTGGGCTGCTAACGTCACATCTAGGAAAACCTCCTCGGTGGGCCCCGGGAAATCAGACCCCACCCAGTGGATGGGTCCTGCCCCACCCACACTGTGAGCCAGAGCAGGTGGGTGGCCGGACCGGGCTGCCTCCAGGCAGGGTGGTCCTGAGGAGGAGCTGACCTCATGGGTGGCAAGGGCCACCAGATCGTATCATGGTAATGACAAAAATAATAGGCCCCACCTGCCGGCCTCTGCGTGGGCAGCTGGGCTCCAGCTGGGACGGGCCTGGCGGCGGGAAAGAGGCGAGGGGCAGGGGCCTCATGGCAAGGGGCTTGGGCAGCTGTACCCCCTGCCCACCCCACGCAGGTACCATGACGCGTTGGATGGGGAAGTCCTTCAGGCCTCTGTCCCTCGGGGAGTCGAAGACCACGGGCAGCGTCTGGTGTGGGGCCTGGGTGTAGCCGATCTCCATTTCATCCTGGGGGGACAGACAGGGGCTGTGGCGCGGGGCCGGGGTCCACTCCCAGTGCCCAGATGGGCACGGAGTCTTCCTCCCGCCCTCGCCCTGGGCCTCAAGGGCCAATTCCCCTGAGGATTCTGACTGCAGAGAAGGGCGTGAGAAGCAGAGCTGGTGTCCTGTGACGGGCCCGTCACAGTGCGGAGCCCGCGGAGCCCTCTCCCTCTCGGGGTGGGCCCTGGGCTGGGGACACGGTGAAGGAGGGGCTCTGGAGTCCTCAAGGACACTGTCCTCAGGGTGCCGAGGACACATCGCTGCTGGAAATCACGGGGGACCTGACGTCGCCATGGTGGGGGGAGGGGCGCATAAAGGGTGGTGGCCAGTGGCCACAGAGGATGCGACTTGGGGAACTACAAGGAAGAGGGGGACCCTCACCGGGGGCAGCATCTGAACTGGGATTTGGTGGGCAGGCTCCGGACGTGGGGACGGGAGGGGGCGGCCCACAGAAGGCAGAGTGGCCAAGGCCAGAGGTGGGCCGGGGCRGGGGGTGCCGAAGGCCCGGCAGGGAGCAGAGAGGGGTCTGGTGTCAGGCTCAGTGCTGAGCTGACGGAGCACCCCGGAGTGTCTCCTGGCAGCGTGGGGGGCACTACCACGGAGGCCCCGAGTGCCAACGCGGTGTCCACCGCCCACAGGGGGCAGGATGGCACCAGCTAAGGGAGGCCCGCGGCGGGTTGGGAGGGTCCGGAAGGGGTTAGAGATGGGAGCCATGGAAAGTGCCGGAGGGGGGGTGGCCTGCTGGTGGCTGAGCCCAGGAAGGCCACTYGAACTGACCCAGGGCCACCTCCTGGGCTTTGCACTTTCCAGCAGGAAGGTGGCTTTTGCCTTGGTGACCCGCGGTGGTGGTCCCAGGGTGGCCCACCACCAACGTCAGATGAGCCACTGGCCTGAGCCCCCCGCCCTGTGCAAGGACTTTCTGAGGCTCCGCCCTCGCCACCCACAGGTGGCCCGGGAGGTGCTGGACACGTGGCCAGGAGCCCCTGGACACGGGCCGCTCACCTGCATCCACTGGTCGTCCATGTTCTCTTCCTCGGGACAGACCGTCAGTTTGCACTTGGCTTTCTTGGCCAGGGCGGCCACTGCCTCCAGGAAGTCTTCGTTGTCAAAGAYCCTAGGAAGGTTCCAGAAGCAGCGCGTCAGGCTCGGGATTCTGGAGGTCAGGCCTGGCGGGAGCCGGGAGGCGACACAGGGCCCTGGAGACGCTTGTGACCTGAACAGGGCCTCCCCTCTAGGGATCCACGAAGCAGGGACTAACAGGGACCCCTTCCGCAGAGGCGCAGCCCGCGGGGAGGCCGCTGCCCGAGGCCAGGCCACCTGGGCCACTCACAGCGAATGCTGCAGCGGGACCTCGGGCCCCTCCTGGCCCCCCGGGCCCCAGCGCTCGGGGCCCCTCACCTGCTCACGTACACCTCCTGGGGGGGCTGGGTGTTGGGGGTCATGATCCAGGGGGCCACGCGGAAGGCCACACTGTCCTGGAAAACCAGGGCCTCGGGGAGCTCCTGCAGGGGAGGGGACAGGAGAGGCCATCGTCACGGCAGCCGGGCCCCCACCCCTGCCCCAGCCAGGCCGCGGCCCGGGCTCCGCCTACCGGGTTGGACGTGTCCAGCAGCGAGACGCCCAGGGAGACGAGCCCCGGGAAGCTGGCGTCCGGGAAGGTGAGGCCCTCCAGGTAGAAGTCCCTGCTGTGCTGGCCGCCCGCGAGCTCCACCAGGTGACAGGGCTGCCCCGGCCCCAGGACCACCTGGAACCTGGAAGGCAGCTGGCACCCTGGCCAGGGCAGGAGGCTCAGGTCCATGTCCTCCGTCCGCAGACCCTGCTCTCCCCTGCCCCCGTCCCGGGTGCCTCCCCAGGCCCCACACCGCACCCCCACATCTGCCTGGAGCCCCACCTTAGCAGAGAAGAGCCAACCCCCTCCCGGGACAGTGCTCCTGGGCRGGGTCCCCAGGGGCACCACAGGGGCCTGGGCCACTCTGACACGCCAGCCCTCAGTCATCTCCTGAGCCACTGCTCCGCCAGTCCCAGCTGACACTGAGGAGACAGGGTCACCGTGTCCCCCACCCCCYAGGGGGCACGTGGGGGAGGGGACAGCAAAGGCCGTGAAGACAGGTGCTGCCTGAGCCGCTGTGACGGAGGGGCCCAGGGCTTCCCAGAGGGTGAGGCCTGGGCAGGGGCAGGAAGCTGGGGTCACCAAGCCAGTGACAGCTGGGTCACTTGGGACTGGAAGTGAAGGAGCTGGATCCAGGGGTGTCCCTGCAAGACCCCTCCCTGGCCCTCCCCCAGGAGAAGCCAATGCCAGCTCGTGCCACCCGGCCCCTCCCCATTGCCCCCTGCCCCTCCCCCCTTATCCCCCGCCCCCCCAGCAGCCCCTCCTTAGCCCTGGCACAGTCTCACCTCGGGGTCCTCACGTGCCTGGCCCGCCCTCCCCCAGCCTGACCCCACGCCCAGCTCCACCCCCGCCCTGTGGACTCGGACCCCCGTCATCTCCCCCAGCCCACTAACACGAAAGGGACCCGGGACGAGGGTCTGCTGTGTTCACAGCTCTGTGCCCTGTGCCCAGAACTGAGCCTGTCACTCCCCAGTGGCGGCAGGAACCGGGAGGAGTTAKCGGGATGCACTGAGGGGGAGTCGGATGGCCGCTGACTCCGTACCCAAGGGGGCGTGTCTGAGAGGGAGGGAGGCCGGCTGAGGGACCACCGTGGGACAGGGGACAGACACCTCTAGGTCTCGGCGCGTGGCCTGGCAGCCATGAGGAGACAGTGTCGGTTTCCCTCTGCCCTCCCACCCCCATTCCCACCCCCACTCGCAGCTTGTGGGGTGTCAGGAGCGTGGTGGGTGCCTCACCCATCCCCCAGCAACCGACCAGCCTGGGGCCAGGTGCTCATGTGAAGCCACCAAAGACAAAACTGCAGAGCCATCGAATGGCCAATGCCCAGCGGCCCTCACTTGTCACCTGCCATGATTGGTGTTTGGTTCCATTTCCCACCACCGTGTGCTCTTAGTAGCCACAGCACCCAGGCAGGCACAGGGGCGCACGCCTGCAATCCCAGCAGCTCTGGAGGCCGAGGCAGGAGGATCCCAGGTTTGAGGCCAGCCTCCGCAACTTAGAGAGGCCCTAAGCAACTCAGTGAGAACTTGTCACCAAATAAAAGATAAAAAGGGCTGGGTCTGTGGCTCCGTGGTAGAGCACTTGCCTAGCATGTGTGAGGCACTGGGTTCGATCCTCAGCACCGCATAAAAAGTAAATAAAATAAAGTTCAAAATTTAAAAAGAAGGGGGCTGCGGATGTGACTCAGTGGTTAAGTGACCTTGGGGTCCATCCTCAGTACCAAAAAAAAAAAAAACCACAAACATAAAAAAACCCCAAAACACTACAGCAACTCATCCTTATCCCAAGACAGAGATGTTCATATAGGATACAGCATCAGTTAAAAAAACCAAAAACTAGCCATTGGCTCCAGGGTGACCCCTGTCTCCCCGGGGCTGAGTGCCCTCAGAGCAGCGCACTCCGGGAACCGTGCTAAACCCCAGGCCCAGAAACAGCGCTCTGCCCCTGGGTGGGGCTGCGCCCTTGCTCTTAGGAGGAGCCAACAAGCACCTGCCCTGCCTGGCTCCTGCCCAGCTCCTCCCCCTCCTGCCCACCTCTCCCACGSTCCCAGCACGAGACGCGACACTTGTCTCTCGCCCGCGCCCCTCATCTGGGAGGTAGTGACGGTCTGTCTTGCGGGGAGCTGTGTCCCTGGTTCTTGGAACCTGGCACACAGTAGCTGCTCAGGAATCATTTGACAGATCTCTGCGCTCCACTGGCGGGGACAGGAGGGAAGCCAAGAAGGGAAGGCGAGTCAGAGGGTCAGCGCGGGCSGGAGACTCACCCGTGGCCTGAAACACCCGCACTTTGTCCATCTCGGATTTGGCCACGTGCAGCACCAGCCGGTGCTGGCTGGAGAAGTCCTTGGGGGTCTTGGTGATCAGGGTCACCAGGGACATGTCCTGCAGGTCTGGAAGGAGGATGAGGCCTGAGACCACTGTCCCAGAGGCTGATCGCCTACAAGCCACCTCCTGGTGGCACCTGGCTGCACCTCTTTCCAGCATTTAAATGACTTTTTTTTTTTTTTTTTTTTGGCTTGGGGTTGAGCTCTGGGTCTGGAGAGTTCCTCCCGCTTCGGTGCCTGCGCCCCATCAGCCGAGGAGCAGGACAGTCTCACCTCACCGTGAGCCGGTGGCGATGAGGGGGGGGGAACACGTCAGGGGCTTGTCACCATGCCTGGTGCCCCAGAACTGCCCGGGTGGCAGCTGCTTTGATTATTACTATGTGCCGGACACTGAGCAGAGGCTGTCCCCCGGCCTCGGGCTACCTGCAGACAACTTGAAATGCGTCCATGCCTAGGAATCCCAGTAGCTCCCCCAGCAAGGCCACAACGCTGCCCTGGGCTGCCACCCTCTGTCCCTTAGTGCCCCTTTTCAGGGCAGGTGGGGAATGTGTCCCCCCCATAAGGACACCCCTGAGGAGTGCCTGCAGAGACCCTGTGCCTGTCCCTGTCCTAGTGTCCCTCAATCTACCCTGGTGTCTGGATGCTCGGACTTCAAATCCTGAGTCTGCTACTTATTAGCTGTGTAACCTGCGGCAAGTTGCTTAACTTCTCTGTGCCTTGGTTTCTCCCTCCATTAAGTTCTGGGCTGAGCACTGAATGAGCGACTCAGAGCAGCGTGCGGCTGACAGGAGGGACCTCAGGAGCTACTCTGATACGATTTGGGGACAATTTCATGGTCGATTGGGGGTCCCAGGAGGGTAGACGTCTGTGTTGGGTGAGGCCTCTGGGAGGCCTCAAGGACTTGCGGTTGGTCCAGCTCTTCTCGGCTGCTGTGTGACCTTGGGCAGGTCACCTGCCCTCCCAGGACCTTTGTCCTCTAGCAACCGCCTCTCAGAGGCCCTTCTGAGGCTCAGGTCAYGTGGACAGAGGGCTTATTCAGGACACCAGGACGCTAACTGAGGACGCCCAGGGCCGCTGGCCGCAGGGCCTTACCTTTGCTGTCAAGCACCTCCTCGTCCTCGCAGTCCATGCCTGAGGAGCTGGGGTTGTCCCTGTCACAGTTCACCAGCAGGATGGCCCCTTGTCCCCGGGGGCCCCAGGTCCAGGTCCTCTGCGGACACGGGAAGGGAAGGAGCAGGCTGAGGGCGCCCAGCAGACCCCGGCCTGGGGCAGCCCCTCCCCCTCCTCTCCTGGGCTGCCGTCCCTCCCACACGGGGCAGCTCTCGGTCCCGAGAGAGGGTCTCTGCCACCGTCAGAACCGAGCCCCCCTGAATACAGGCATCGACTTTTAAAAAGGATCCCAAAAGGGGCAGAGCCCCCGTGGCAGGAGCCCCTTCACCCCCACCCGGGAGTGACTGTGGGCCTAAGGGTGCTCCCTCTTCTCCACTCTCAACAACAAACCCACCAAGGCTCTGGGGACGGACCTGGGCCCTCAGTGCTGCCCGGCCAGAGCTCCACTGCTGACCACCACGGGCCCTTCCTCTGCTTCTGTCTGAGCCCACCAGGGGGCTCGTCCCCCACCCCCAGGGCACTCATGCACACCCCCCCAGGTTACAGATCTTCGGGGCCCGCCACACACCTGTGCCCCATCTTCCTGCACCATGGCAGGCCCCCGCAGCTGCCGCCCCCCTACCCCCCGCCCTTCCCCCCTTTCCTATTACCACCCCACGTGGGCGGCGCCGTGGGGATCTCTCCTGTCCGTCATGAAGGCCTGGGGCGGGCTTCTGACCTACCTACACATCTTTCCTCTGCTGCGTCAAAACTGGGTGGCTGTAGGTTCCAGACAAGACATGATCTGAACCCCCAACCAGGAAGAATCTGGTCTCATAAAGATATGGGGTTCATGCAAGCCAACATATCGCTGGTGGTTTTAATTTTCTCCTTTTCTGACTTCCTGAATCATGTTTCTCTTTTTTTCCCAGTTAACATGGGACACGGGACACAGACTGCCATTTCACCCTATCGCCACAAGGAGGCGCCAGAGCCCAGCGGGGCCAAAGCAGCCCTGGCGTTGGTACCTGGTTTTTGGAGGCTCTGCCCGGCTGCTTGGCCTTGCCCGGCTGCTTGGCCTTGCCCGTGCGGGTGATGTCTGCCTGCAGGGAGATTTCTAAAAACACAGGACAGAGGAGAGGGCGGGTGAGGTGCGGAGTCGGGGCTCTCAGCCTGGCCTCCATGGATGGCCTCTGCCCCAGGAGACGTCTGCTCTGAGSGGGGGAAGCCTCTCCTTCAGAGGGGACAGCCCCCATGTCCTCAGGAGGTCTGTCTGACACTCAGAGCAGAGCCGAGGCTTCTGACTGTCCTGTTGTCCTTCGGGGGCCATGACAATGACACCAATAGGGAACTGAGACCCAGGGATTTCAGAGACAACTCCCAGGCGCCCACACGGAGCCCTGCAAGGTCACCCAGCCTGGCTCTCAAGGACTCCGGCTCGGCCCTCAGTGACCTCGGGTGACAGACACGGGCTACACGGTTCCACCTGCTCTTTATCACACACGCTGCACCAGGGACAGATCGCTGCACCAGGGACAGATCGCAGCCCCAGTCCCCTACTCCGACCAATGGCGTGGCTGAGACAGCTTGATTCTAAATCCTCCCTCCCTGTCGGAACAGAGGACCACGCTGTCCTTCCAGCAGGGTAGACCCGTGTGCCCCACAGCATGATCTGTGACCGTGTCCCACCTGAGGTTGTCCCAGTGACCTGTTAAACATATGCACACCTCAGTACTAGTGCAGGGACAGGACGATACAGGCCTGAGTGTCTGGGCCTCGTCACCCCTTCACTACCCGGCTGCATGGGTGACCTTGGGCAGGTCTGTCTACCTCCTGTGCCTCGGCTTCCTCCCCTGTACAATGGGATGATGATCGTGCTGACTTTACTACACTTTTGTAAGTTGTAAATGTCCAGTCTTAGACTTGGGCGGCGCGGGAAGTGCTCTCTTGTTTAAATGTGGATTCGAGAACAAGATTCGCTGGTGAGATGAAACCGGGAGGTTTCACATGCTCTTTGTAAACTCAATGTACATTGTTTAAGATGAAGCCAAACTAAGGAAAAATGGATCTTCTTTTTCTTTAGACACAGGGTCTCTCTATGTGGCCCGAGTTGTCCTTGGACTCCTGGGCTCAAGCCATCCCGAAAATGGATTTTATTCCACAAAGAACATTGAATCAATGGGCGTAGAGATGGACCGCGGATAAGACCAAAAATGTTGAACGTGGATTGTAATGACACTTGGGGAACATGGAGACGCAGCATTATGGTCTACTTTTGTTATAAATATCCGAGGTGTCAAAAAGGTGCAGAGACTGTGCACTGAGAATCCCTGCACCCTCTTCCTAACTGGAGAAACGCGTCATTCCGATGTCATTCCAGCGCCCGCCTCCCCCTCCCAGGTCYGCCCCTCTGCGGCTCCTCTGTGCTGCGCAGGAGATGGCCCTTTTGCTGGCCCATGTTTAGAACAGGCTGAGGGGTGACCTCCCAGGTGAGGTGTCCTGCAGRGGCTGTGGAGGAGCCTGGGGCCACTTACCCACCCCGGTGAGGTACAGCAGGGCCTGGACAGGTGGCGTCTTAGGGCCGTAGTACGAAATCCGAACCTGCGGGGCAGCAGCGGACCGTTAGGAACTTCTCTGTCCTTCCCCAGACGGGTCTGGACCCCTGCGTGGGCCAGCTCAGCTCACCAGTGACCTTGGTGCTAAAGAGGGTCCCACGGGAGGCCAGAAATGGAGGGGCTGGGCCTGCGGGGAAGGCCACGGGGTGGGGGTGGGGCTGCAGGAGCAGGTGCACCCGGAGCAGATCTTGAGGGGGAGTGGGGCGTGGCCGCTGGGGATGGGGCTAAAGGGGCGCTTGAAGGGGACTGTGGGTCATGAGCCCCAGAAAAGGACTCTGGCTAGCAGAAGGGAAGGACAGACTTCAGGCCACCTCCCCGCCCCGGGGGACTGGGGCGCGGGAGCTGTGGGGGTGCTGGTCTCCAGAGGGCAGGTGCTGCGGAGCTGGAGGACCGCGGACTCCCTTTATGGAGGCTCAAAACCCAGGAGGGCTGGAGCCCGCGGGTGTGGAGACCCTGGGTTCAGCACCCGCCCCCCACCCCCAAATAAATCTGGGGAGCACACGTCTGATTGGCCCAGCTGCCAGAGGAGGGCGGGGCATCTGGACTGACCCAGGCAAGTGGCCGGGGAGTGCCCAAGACCAAACCCAAGGAAACCTAAGGCCGCGGCAGAGAGGCTTCTGCAGGGATGCCCAGGGGACAGAGGGCGTCCAGAGCAGTGCCTGGGCCGCTGTGGCCTCACATGGGGACCTTGGCATTGACCTCTCAGCTTCGGGCTTTGCCTGCTGACCGCTGCTCCGCTGAGGCCTGTTGACTGCTCCCAGGGCTTTCCCTCTCTCCCTCCCTGGCCATGGAGGCAGGTTGGTCTACTGTCCCGGCTGCTGGGGTGCAGATGCCAGCGGCCCCTGAATCCCCAGGGTGGGCGCTTCCTGTTGCTCCCCGAAACTGGGGTTCCTGATGCCAAACCCTCTGTGCCGGCTCCCTGTCCCTCTGCACCGGTCACAAGAACTTCCTTGGCCTCCCCAACGCCTGTCTCTTCTCATTCAGTTTGCACACAGGTCACCCCTCCAGGTAGGGCTCACTGCTTTTTCCCCCTCTCTCAGGCTGGTATTATTATTATTTTATTTTATTTTTTTCAGACATTGAACCAGGTGCACTTTACCACGGAGCCATATCCCTTGCCCTTTTTATTTTTTGAGACAGGTTCTTGCTAAATTGCTTAGGTTCTTGCTGAGTTGCTAAGGCTGGCCTCAGATTTGCAATCCTCCTGCCTCAGCCTTCCGAGTTGCTGGGATTACAGTGGTGTGCCACCACACCCAGCTCCCCGGCTGGTCTTTTATATCATCCTCAGCTTGACACTTCTTCCAGAAATATTTTTCCCTGAGCACATCTTCCCGGACAGATCTGTGTTCCTACAGCAGGTGACAATGCTTTGTCCCCAGGGAAGAGCCTGGTTGGCTTGTTCCCCCAGGAGTTAATGACTGTTGACACAGATCTCGGTGGGAACCCCAGAGGTTCTTGCCGGGACCATCTAGAGTCAGAGGGGGTGGCTTAGGTTGAATGGAGCCTCCCAAAAGATAGGGCCACATTCCAATTCCTGGAACCCCTGAATAGGGCCTTGTTGGGTGGGGGGAAGTCTTTGTAGATGTGAGTAGGATAAAGACCTTGATGAGGATAGAGGTCTTGAGGAGTCAGGCTGGATCATCTAGGGAGACCTCAGTCCCCACAGCGTTTGGTTGTGGTCTGGTGCTGGGGATTGAAACCCTCAGGAGCGCCCTACCCCGAGCCACACCCCCAGCCCTTTTTACTTTTATTCTGGGGCAGGGCCTCAGTAAGTTGCTGAGTCTAGTCTTGAACCTGAGAGCCTCTTGCCCCAGCCTCCTGAGTCGCTGGATGACAAGCAGGTGCTGCTGCCCCCCAGCAGGTGGGTGCCTCTTAAGCTTTGGCTGAAGGGGTGAATCTGATCCTGACCCTGCAGCCCGACACTGCTGTGTGCAGGGACACTGTGGTGGGACACCCCCCAGGAGAGGACCCCCGTGTGAGCTGCCCCGCCCCCGTCCTTCCACACCGGCACCCCGCTGTCACCCACCTTCTGGTCACCTGTGASAGCACTGGCCGCTTTCACCCTCAGGGTGACCTCCAGCTCGGGGTCCAGGGGCCACTTGGAGGAACCCGTGCGGTTCTTCTTGGTCGGAGGGCCTCTGGCTACCTCCACCACCACCCCTGGGGAGGCGCTGATGCTGAAAGAGGTGCAGTCCCCCGGGGCCGAGCTGTGGAAGGGACAGGGGGACGGGACAGTGAGGAGGGGCCTGGCCCAGCAGGCCAGTAGGCGTCAGCTGCGGCAGCACCTAGCGCTCACTCTGAACCCAGGAGGAAGCATGGAGCAGCGTCAGGGGTTGACGAGAGGAAGAGGGTCCCTGGGCCTGGCYAGCTCACACTGGAACTAGGAAAACAGCGAAGACTCTCACACCYGGGTGTGTGCACGGAGCGACTGCACACCCAGAGGCTCCCTCCACACCCGCTGCATGCGGCAGGCGCGTCCCCTTCTGGAATCGTGGCGGATCAGATGTTCCTGAGCATCTTACTCTTACAAAGCCACCAGMTCAGGGGTGAAATAGACTTTTTAAAGCGTTGCTGAGCACACACCCCCCCTCCAAATGAGCACCCATGTGCACGCACCACGGTTYAATGGAACCAAAAGGCAGCCAAGGGAGCGGGGGTAGGTCTGCTAATACCAGACAAAAYCAGCGAGCAGACCAAATCCACCCAGTTATCGACACAGAAGATCCCCGCTTAATGACCTTGGCCTCAACCCACCTAGAAGATGTTCTCAGCTCATAGGCCACCAGCCACATGACCTCAGTACCTAGAGACAGTCTCGAGGCATTCAGAAAAGTCAGAAAAGAGTAATAATCAGACTGAACATGAACTTGTAAATACTAACAATGAAATCTAGGAGATAGCTGAATAATATCTTCACCGCATTTTGAAAAAATAACTATTAACCTAGAATTTGCTTTCCCCAAAAATCTTTTTTTTGGAGGGTGCCAGGAATTGAACTCGGGGGCACTCAACCACTGAGCCACGCCCCCAGCCCTATTTTGTGTTTTATTTAGAGACAGGGTCTCACCAAGTTGCTTGGTGCACCTCACTTTTGCTGAGGCTGGCTTTGRACTTGGGAKCCTCCTGCCTCAGCCTCCCAAGCCACTGGGATGAAGGCATAAGCCACTGTGCCCAGCCCAAAAATATTTATATAAAAACATTTTCAGTTGAACAAAACCTGATATTTTAAGATCAATTTTTAAGAATTTCATGAAAGCAACTTCTAAAGGTATAGTTTACAAAGAAGGTAGCTGAGGCTGGAGGCCTGATCTGAGATGCAGGAAAGAATGGTGAACAAATAAAATGGAAAATATTCTGGTAAATTTAAACAATCATCATCTATAAAGTCATAAAAATATTCTTTTTTTTTTGTGGTATGGAGATTGAATCTAGGATCACTCAACCACTGAGCCACATCCCCAGCCCTATTTTGTATTTTATTTGGCGACAAGTTCTCACTGAGTTGCTTAGGGCTTTGCTAAGTTGCCGAGGCTGCCTTTGAACTTGCCATCCTCCTGCCTCAGCCTCCCCAGCCCCTGGGACTACAGGTGGGCACCGCCATGCCTGGCGGAAAATATCAAACTTGTGGGAGAAAAGGAGGCAGGATTTAAACTGAACTTGTGCCCATCCTCCTGCCTCAGCCTCCCCAGTGGCTGGAATTACAGGTGTGCGCTACTGGCTCCTGCTGGCGGGAGCACGTCTGTACGTTCTTCTGAAACAAGACATAAAACCAGTAAACACAAAGCAAAAGATGAATACATTCAGCTCGATGAAAATCAGTAATTTCTGTTTGTCGAAAGTCACCGTAAATGAAAAGACAAACGCGGTCCATGGAGAATGCGCTCCTAGCACAAAACCCACCCAGGCTCAGCGTCCAGAATCCGTAAAGCCCTTCGGCCAATCAACACGGCGGAGACAACCTGGTGGGAAAAGAAACGGCCCAAGACACAGCAGGAATCAGAGGGGCTGGAACACAAGTGGACGACAGGCGCGCAGAGGCCTCCCCTTCCCAAAGGGAAGTAAGGGGACAGGATTTATGCCACTCAGTTGGTGACAAGTATGTTATAGACCACGTGGCTCAACAGGACTGTGGCGTTGACCTCTCTGCCCCATTTGGGGTTACAGACATTAGCCAACCCGACCCCCCACGCCACACCTGGGCAGACACCGGAGCAGCTCTTCCACACATGCTCCAGGAGACATGTTCCAGAAGGTTCCAAGCAGCCCTTTCTGTCGTAGTGAGCAGTACAACACAGTGCATATACCCATGGGCAGAAGAATGGCTCAGGCCTTGTAGCTGACTTCCAGCGTGTGGGAGACTCGCCAAAGGGGCACAACTCACGCCGGGACGCCCCACAGACTTGGGATTATGTTTTCTATTTTCAGTTTTGTAGAAGTTTTCATCTCTATCTTAAAAGCTGTATGCCTTCATGATAGAGAATTAGGAAAATGCTGGAAAAGTGTGTGGCGGAYGGACTTCTAAGATGGGCCCTGCGTCAGCCAGTTCTGCGTGACTATAGCAAAACAGCTGAGGCCATCACTGAAGAGGAAGAAAGGTTCGTTTCAGCTCATGGTGGCAGAGTCCAGCCCATCGTTGCTTGGCCCGTTGCTTTGGGCCTGTGGCAACGGGGAACATCATGGCAGGACTGTGTGGCACAGGAGGGCAGAGAGATGGGGGGGACAGGTTCCTTCAGCCCTTCAAGGACACACCCTGATGACCCGGCACCCACTAGGCYCCACCTCCTGAGGGTTCTTCCACCCCCATAGCACCACGAGCTGAGGACCACACTTCAACCCAGGGGCCCTGGGGARACACAAGACCCAGACCCCAGGAGCCCCCCGCACGGCCCACCTCTGGTGTCCCAATCCCTGGCACCTGGGGCTGCCACCTTRCATGGGAGAGGAGACTTGCAACCCTGAGACGATGGCAGATTGTCCTGATGGCCCAGGAGCCTACACAGCCGCCAGGGCTCTCCAAGAGGAGGCAGGAGGGTCACAGCCTGAGGCAACGTGGTGGAGGAAGCAGGGGGATGTCACTCTGAAAGTGGCCACAAGCCCCAGATGGCGGGATGTGGAAGGTGAGGCGGGGGTTCTCCCCCGCGGTCGGAGGCGGAGCACGGCTCCCACGCCCCGAGGTCAGCCCTGACCCAGGCTTGGACCTGTGACTCCCAGAGCTGTCCGGTAATGAAGGAAGGCTGTTCCMAGTCACTAGGAGTGTGGCCCTGGGTGACAGTGGCCTGGGGAACCTAACGCAGCCGTCATCTTGGTCGGCCTCCCCCTCCCCCAAACCCTGCTGGCTTGGGCACCGGGAATTGGTGTCACCCGCAGGGATCCTCCAGGTGGCACCCGCTCTTGTGGGATGGTGTCACCGAGATCCCTTCACGAGGGCAGACCTGCAGCGTGGGACCTCCCTCCACGTGGCCCCTGACCCCACTTCACGCTCAGCCCGCGGCCTGGTTTGCTGTCCTCCTTTKACAGATRAGGAAACCGAGGTTCAGAGAGGCCAAGCGACGGGTCCAGGCAACCTGCCGACAGGGACAGACCGGGGTCCGCTCGMGGCCCTGCAGATGCCCCTGCCACCACCTGCAGCTGTTCTTCCTCTGCGCCGGCCCCTCCTTGTCCCCTCCCTGCCCCCCTTCACCAGGCTCCTCCTCAAGACCAGGGGTCTCCAGCGTGGTCCTCGCCGACAGCACCGGCCGCTTGGCTGGGAGCTCGTTAGGGTGCAGATTCCAGGGCCCCGCGCCCGCGGGACTGCAGGTGCCAGGCACTTGGTCACATGGTCCCCGGGATCCCAGGGAGAACTCAGGGCTGGTGACCCGTGGCTTCCACGCGCCCTCCTGGTCCTCTGCTGCATGCTYGGGCCCAGCGGGTGTGATGCGTGGCTGCTGAGTTCCCTGGACCCTGAGTGCGCCCCGGGGGACAGGATGTAATGCAGGGGCAGGGGGACGGTCCTCAGGTGGGGGCCCTGCTGCTGTTTTCTTATGAGGAGGTGGAATCATTTCGAGTCGGCAGACCTGCTGCGCTGGGGAAGAGGAACGTCCAGGTCTCTTACTCAGGAGGTTGAGAGGCGAAGAACCTGGAAGTTGGGGAGCAGGGAGCGGTACAGAGGCTGGGAGTGTTCAGGTCAGCCGTCACTGGCACTCTGTGAATGGGTAATGGGGAGCCAGAGTGGGTTCTGGAGGAAGGGAGCAGCACAGTCCAAATGGTGCCCGTGGAGGCTCAGAACGGCCTCCTCTCGGAAGAGACTTGGAATCGGAGAGAGGGGACGTGAAGGGACGGTCTTGGATGTCCCTTGAGTGATTCAGGGTGAGGAAGCTCCAGGGGGGAAAGGAAACAGGGAGGTCGAGGCCTTGGCTGGAGAGCTGTGGAGGCTGCGGCGCAGGGACAGACAGACGCGGATTCCAACCGGGTTCCGCCGCTTAGACCTCCCTGAGAGGAAGCAGGTTCCCGGGGCGGATGCAGGTTCCTGTGGAGATGGACGTGAACTCTGACCTTCACTGCTCACTCGGAGCCCAGCCCTGCGTTGACCGCCCCGTGCTGACCGCACATCGTGTCTCCGTGACCACGCTGAAGATGGTCCTTCRGTCATTTGTCCTTGGCAGGAGAAGCTGCGGCTGACCTGGGTTTGCTGGGTGCTCCTGGGGCCCGGAGCTGAAGCCCAGTGTCCCCTTGAACATTCCTGCAGCGCTGGGGGCGGGTGCTCTGGGCTGCAGTGCCCCCACCCAGCCCAGGGACAGGGATGGGCAGGGGTTAGCGAGGTCGGCGGACCGCGTGGAAGGCAGGTGTCTGTGTGGGCCACCAGGTGGCAGCAGCCCCAGTGGACAGAGTTGGGGGCAGGGCAGAGCTGTGGGCAGGGAGTCACCCAGGCCCGGGGACAGGTGCAGCCCTGGAGGAACCTGAGGTCACCAGGGTAGGGGAGGAGCCCTGAGTGGGCACCGGGCACCGCTGCTGCACTTTCAGCTGAGAGGATGGAGGGGCTCCTCGCTCCCAGGGTGACAGGGACGGGGACAGTGTGGCCCACAGGTCTCCCCCGGGCCTCGCTTCTTTTTGCTCCTCTGCTCCTCCCACCCCTGCTGAGTTCCCACCCTACTTGGGGTCAGGGCTGTCTGGACAAAGCAGGACCAGGGCACAGGCTGGACGGTGCCCCAGGGACCTGAGATCTGAGGCCCCGCCCTGGTGAGCGGTGACGGTGACTCACATATTTTGAGAAGCTGTGGCCACCACACACCTGCCTCCCGCCCTCTCGTTGCACAAAGATTTTGCAACAAGACTTTGCAACTGTGTGCCAGGGTGCACCGGACACTGTGGCAGGACACTGTGGTCAGTTCTTGCATTCACTCAACAAACCCTTCAGAGCACCTACTCTGTGCCAGGCACAGTCTTCCCCTAAAACACAGTTAACATGGCACGTTCAGCACCTCCGGCCACCTGCTGGGGTCCCACGRTGGGCTCCCCCAGTCCTCCTTGACAAGGACACCAGTCTACATCTGTGGATCTCGAATAGCAGGTGTCCCCTGGACACAGGTGGCAGCCTTCCACCTGCTCCCAGCCTGGTCCCCAGGCCCGTATGGGCCAGGGAGTGGGATGACCAGGCTGTCACCTGAGCCTGGCTGAGCTGACTCACGGGTAGGGAGAGAGCCAGGTGGGCGTGGACAGAGTGTGCCGGCCCCTCCACCCCACGGCGGCGAGGCCAGTCTGTCCCCCGCGGCCGGCCAGGCCTGAACTTGCACGTGCGGCTTTGTGGGCGGGCGTGTGGCCAGGCCGGTCAGCGTGGCTCTCCACGAGCTGCTGGCTGGGCCTCAGAGTCCGGGAAGCCTCCCAGGCCAGCTGGGGAGTGGCAGGGGACAACGGCCGCGAGCTGGGCCTGGCCACGGACCCTCCTGGTCTGGGCTCCACCTCTGGAGCGGGCAGAGGGCTGTGAGCTCCTGTGGGTGGGGCTGGGGCACCCGAGTGGCTGCCGCCCGGTGCAGGACGGTGACAGCAGAGGAAGGTACAGCTCAGCCTGTCCCCAGAGACGTCCCCGAGTGTCACCCACCTGACCAAAGGCCCACGAAGCCTGGGCTCCCTCTCCCGGGCTTGGTGTCMCCAGGCCTCCCAGCTGCAGGGCACCCCGGGGGGTGGGGCCCGAGGGGACATGCCACGAGTCGAGTGGGGACTCAGAGGACAATGAGAAGCCGCGCCGTTGGGCCAGGGCTCCCTCTCCCTCCGCGGCTTCCTCCGGGGGCAGGGGGGAGCAGGACACGTGGGTCGGCCACCTGCCGGTTTACAGCGGAGCCTCCAGGCCTGTCACCACCTGCCAGTGGGAACCGGAGGATGGGACAGCGAGGCCTGCTCRGTGGCCCTGCTGGGACTCCGTGTGGGGCTGTGTCCTCTCTGGTGGCTGCTGCCCCTGTCCTCAGCTCCCAAACAAGACGCCCCGCACACATCTGGGGCCGTCCTCTGTGTGACCTTGAGAAGATCCACGGCTGAAGCTTCCCGAAGCTCCCGGAGCCCTCTGCAGAGCCAGCGCCGGGGACAAGAGCCCACACAGCGACGTCCCCTCCAGCTGTGGCCCCATCTCCTCACGATGACCAGAGGAAGGACCATGTGCTGTCACTCAGAGGCTCCCGCGGTCCCCGCAGGAAAGGCCGCCCTGCAGACACTGGATGTGCTCCTGGCCGCGTCTCTCCACCGCCCACCGGCAGGGGATCCTGTCCCCATTTTGCAGCTCAGTAAATGCTGAGGGACAGTCACAGACTTGCCCACGCTCCTGGCTGTCCCTCGGGGGAGGTGCTGGGGAAGAGGAGAGCCACCCATCCGMGGTGGCTTCACAGTGACACCCGTCCCCCGTGCTCGGCACCACCTGGCCACGCCATCACCAGGCGTCCTGGAGTCCTCTGGAGGCGGACGGGCTCTGCCCACCGGGAGCAGTCCCAGCGCCAGGTGCCAGCCCCGCGACATGCGGAAGGGATGAGTGCGAGCGGGGGTCAGGGGTTAGAGTCCACTCTGCGTGGCCTTGGGTGGGTGTTTTCGCTTCCCGCAGCCTTGGTTCACTCATCTGTAAAATGGGCACGTGGTCCTGTCCTGCTTGGGGTCACTGAGGTCAGAAATCAGCTGGTCGGGCGTGTGCCTCCGTGCTAAGGCCCTGGGTCATCCCGCCACCACGGGCACAGAGACCAGGAGAGAAGGCCCGGCACAGGGTAGCGGGCCCCGATGCCGCCCTGGCTCCGTCAGGGGTTGGCGTTCAGCCCAGCTGAGCGGGGCTTGGATCGTGACCGGGCACCTCCTGGGGCAGGGACAGCGGCTTCGGAACGCCRAGTGAGCGCCAAAGCTGTTTCCCCRCGGCTCTGAAGAGGCGCCCGCAGCCCTGCGCCTGCTCCTGCCCCGGCACCTTGTCTGTTGAYGCTGGGGTCTCTGAGCCTGGGGACAGAGGGCACAGCTCCCGGGGAGGGGTCGAGGACGCAGAGCTGGTGAGGACGGGGTGGCTCAGAGCCTCAGGACCCCCCTCTGGTGGCCTTGGGGCTGGAACCCAGGGCCTCGCACACACCCCGAGCTGCATCCCAGCCTCMCTGTCCCCTTCTGTTAAGGGAATGACGGCTGCTGAGTGAGCCCCGGGCAGGAGGGCGATGCAGACGTCRGCCATCGTCCTGGGACCCAGGGGACCATGCCCAGCTCCGTGTCTGATGAGGGAGGAGGAGACCAGGGTATTGAGGCACCTGTGGGTGGGGGACCTGTCCCTTCTGAGAGCTGTGGGCAGTGCCTCCCCTTGACCAGCCCCACCAGATCCCCACGGCTCCTCGGCCCTGGGCAGAGGGCTGGCCTGGGCATGTGGGGCTGGCCCTCCACTCCCTCCACACCCCCCACCACAGCTCATTCTCGGGGGTCTCCGGGGACACCGGCCGCACTTTTCCCTTTATCCCAGGACTTCTATGTTTCTTGCCACCCCCGTGGCCCTAGGAGGTCACCTGGGCCAGGCAGTGGGTGACACACCCCAGGGTGACACACAGGTGCTCCCGTGGCCCCAACCTAAGACCACAGGTGCCCACTGGTGGGGAGGAAGCTGAGGGCCACCACAACCACAACGKTGTGCGMTACCCTGAGAGGGCACCCGCCACCMTCCTGGGTGGCCCACAGTGGACAGGCCCCCACACAGTAGGTACTCAACAGGCGTTTGTTGAATGAATGAAYGACCACCAGGACTGCGCCCAGCACCTTGCTGGGTACCTTTCCACAGTGAATCCCAGTGGCCTGTCCAGGGTGGGTGTCCACCCATTTCACAGATGAGRACACTGAGGCTCAGTTGCCCAAGGCCACCCGAGAGCTCACAGCAGGCCAGTTCCTAGAGTGGTCTTCTCATGCCAGAGCCCATGTCACGGCCCAGCTGTCACAACCCCCCACCAGGGAGGCTCGGAGACCAGTGTGGACAACAGACTGCACTGTGAGCCAGGTGTGGGTCAGGAGCTGTGTGACCTCAGGCAAGTCCAGACCCTCTCTGACACCTCTGTTTGCCCCATAATGACTCACCTGTGGTGAGGTCCCGGGAACCCAGACCCGCACACCGCACACCGCACACCCCACACCGCACACCTCACACCCCACACCGCACACCCCACACCCCACACCCGCACAGGCCAAGGAGCAGCTGCTGGGCCCGGCCCCTCCCGGCTGCCCGGCGTCTCTCCAGCTGCGCCCCTGGCAGCGGCCACCAGGGCTGAAGCCCGAGCCTGGGCCAACAGCTGTCGGCAGGACCAGCCCCTGGCGCCGGCTCCCCGCCGCCCCCCATGCCCAGGAGGCTCCCGCTCACCCACAGACGTCCAGCTGGGTCGCGGTGCCCAGCACGCACACCGCGTGGGTGGGCTGCTCTGGGGCCACGTGGACCACTGTCCCCTGCGCCATCCTCTGCCAGCTGTGGGGTCCCCTGGGCTGGCTGCCTGATGCCGTCCAGCGGAGGCCGTGAGTCAGCACCTGCGGTCTGAGGCCCCGGCTCAGCCCCGCCCCCTGCCCTCCTGGCCCTGGGGCCAGCCCTCRGCTCCCCAGAGGGGGCCACGCTGGTGTGGGTGCAGGGGGCTGTGCCAGGAAGGAGCGAGGCTCAGGAGGTGGGAGGAAGAGGGCAGCACCCAGTCCCGGGGCCCTCGCCCCCTGCCTGCCCCAGGGGCCAGGAACCTCTGCTGGGCTCGCCCCGCGAGGCCCATCAGGGAGGCCAGAGAAGGAGGAAAAGCCAGGGGATTCTAAGGCAGAGGCCACAGCTACCCGAGGACCCACCAGGTCTGGGACATGACCTGTTACCCTCCTGGTGCCGAGGGCCCCTGTCCCTGCTGTTCCCAGAGGAGCTCGGGAGCCTGTGAGGCCCGAGCTCTTATCGTCCCCTCGTTCCACCCTCGAAGCAGCTGAGGTCAGCACAATTATAGGCCCATTTTATAGAGGAAGAAACCGAGGCCCAGAGAGGTTCCCAGCTAGAAAGTGACCGAGCCTGGATTTGAACAGGAAGGTGTCTGTCTCCGGAGTAGGCGGCTCATCAGCTGCCCGCCCATGTGGCACCTGCCCGTGAGACTTCGTCACGGCTGTTTCTTACTATGACACAAGTTACATATGGACTCACAGCAACCCATTTCACAGAAGGGAAGGTGGAGGCACAGAGAGGGAAAGTGACTTGCCCCAGGAGCCCCAGCTAGTGCCGGGCAGAGCTGGGAGGGGAGAGCCGGAGCTGGTGCTGCCTGCAGGCTCCAGGAGGCGGGGCCCCGCAGGGTCTCACTGTCAGACGAGGCGTGCGGCTKCGGCCTGCCCTGCTGTGGGGACGTGTGCTCGGGTGGTCACAGCTGGGCCAGGCTCTGGGATGYGGTGGGGGGTGCACGGTCTTCAAGCTGGGGTTGGGGAGGCTGAGCTTCTGCACATTTTATTTGTTTGTTTTGACTTTGAAGCAAAGACTTTGCCTCATTAATTAGGAGTCTGGCTGAGGACCAGGCAGGCTGAGTGCCAATCCTCCTAGTGCCACCGTCCCCGGAGGTGGCTCCTAGCCCTGGAGCCTCAGAGCACAGACTCCCAGCTCTGGCAGCGCATGATCCAGGCTCCAAAGCAGCCTCTCCTGGCACCAAGCCTCCTTCTGTTCCCAGAGGCTGCGGCCAGGCCCGACGCGTCCCTGGGACCACCTGCACACAGTAGGTCCTAATTAGTCCAGATTCTCCAGCTGGTCACATGATTAGAGCTTGGTCGAGTTTCTCATGGAAAGTGGCAGGACGGAGCCCTCGATTGTCAGAGTTGGGGGCCCTCAGAGAACACCAAATCCAGTCCTCAGGCTGTAGACCGAGGCACAGAGAGGGGGTGTGTGGAGCCCAGAGTAACACAGCAAGTCAGGGGGAGCGCTGGGCCCGCCCCCCCAGTCTCAGATCTCTTGGGACAGTTTCCCTCCCTCCCTCCTCCCTCCCTCCTCCCTCCTCCTCCTTCCCTCCTCCTCCTTCCCTCCTCCTCCTTCCCTCCTCCTTGGGCAGTTGAAGGGTTAAATCTGCGGTGAATAAGCAGCAAAGGGGACAAACACCGAAGCAGTTTTCCTAATTCAGCAAACGCTGAGGGTCGGCTGAGGCCAGCACCTTCCTAGGCCCTGGGAACGCAGTGAAGGAGAGACATGCTCCTGCCTTCCCGGAGCCTTCTTTCTGCTGGAGAGAAACAACCAGAAAGCAATAAATAGAATAAGATATGTGTCATCTAGTGGATAAGGGCCACCTGCGATTTTAAATGGGGCGGTCAGAGAAGGTGACATGGAGAAAAAAGGTTCTGGTTGAGGGAACAGTCAGTGCAGCTGGTGCAAAGGCCCTGAGGCTGGGATGTGCCTGGAGGGTTCAAGGAGCAAGGAGACCAGCCTGGCAGGAGTGCAGTGGGGCGGGCCTGCCAGGCACCGGGAGGTCTTCCGACTTCTACTCCAAGTGACTCGGGGCGCCACGGGCCTGTGGAGCAGAGGAGGCCTTGCAGGGACTTGTCTGAGCACGGTGACTGTGGCTGCTGTGGGAATGGAATGCAGGAGGGGGAGGAGGAGCRGAGCCAGAGCCGAGCAGGGAGCTGCTGCCCCGGGGAAGGAGAGAGGCTCAGCCCCAGGTGGGGCCGCACAGGGCGAGCAATGGTCGGGTTCTGCACATTTTGCTCCAGTTTCCTCCAGGGGGATAAGCAGGTGGACTGATCAGGAGTGTAAAGATGGCCCCAAGGTTTGGGGCCTGAGCACCCGGAAGGACAGAGCTGCCCGCACTGAGCAGGGCATCTGGGGCCAAAGACAGCGAATGAGGGCAGATAGGACCAGGGCTGGCGTGGTACAGTTTGCCCCTGAACCTCTCCCTGCCTCGTGGCACACGGGGGCTGCGTGCTGATCATGAGCCTCGCTCCCATGCGCTCACGGTGGCCACTCCTGCGGTGCGTGCGGGACTTTGTGGATTCACCTTTGCCCCTCTGCAGCCTCTTGCGGAGTCTTTTGTTCTCTGAGACTGGYCGCGCCTTGTGTTGAAATGTCTGTCCCCCCACTAGCCCAGAGAGCAGGGCCTTGTCTGTCTTGGCTGCGCCCCCAGCGCCCAGACCTTACAGTAGCTGCTCATTAAAAACACCGTTGGTGTCCCGCATCCAGCCCAGTRCTTGACCCCCAGGCGGGGACCTTGCAGATGGCTTCTTGTGAGGAACCCCGGGGCCGGTGAAGGCCAGCCTGCGGTCACTCTTGTGGAGGGCGTTAACCCTTGGAGCCCAGAGGGGACCTTGGTGTCAGGAAGCAAAYTCCCCTACACAGGAGGACCCCAGTCCAGAGCCCCAGGGGAGCAGCCRTCTCCCTGCTGAAAGGCCATTTCCCGGAAGAAATGAGGGTGTTCTGGGGTMGTCCCATCCCCTGGGGGTGTTGGGGGCCCCATGACTGGACACCTGAGCTGTCCTCCCAGGGCCTGGCCTCCGGCCTGCTCAGGGGACCATGATGGATGGTGTCATTCTGAGGAGAGGAACTGGCGTCGGGGATCTCCRCCCTCTGCCCGACTTGGGGACAGGGTGCGGCCTGAGCCGCGCTGGACTCCACAGCCGCCCAGTCCCTCGGCGCCACCMGCTCCCAAGTGCCGCCCGGGTGTGCTGACCGAGGTCACGGGGCTTGGGAGGCCTCCTGAGGTCCTGCTCTCTTGAGGGGAACCTGRGGCTTTGTCAGATAGAGTCACAAGACCCCGGGTGCCGACAGGGACCCCCCTGTCACCAGCTCCTCGGGGTCAGGGGGGCAGCCGTGACAGCCCCGAGCTGCAGAGGTTCACGGTCACCCGCTTCCTGGGGGTTTCAGACCAGCTTTGCCAAGAGGCTCTGCACTGGGGTTGCTCTGACTGGTGCCAGGCCCCGCCCGGGGATCAGCCCCTGTCCCCAGGGAGAGGCCTGACACCGGGTTTGACTCTCCTCATTTCCAGACGAGGAAGCCGGGTCTGAGGGTCAGGGGATGGCCCAAGGAAGGAAGAAGGGAGTGGCAGTCCTTGGGTTAGCCTGACCCCTGAGCCGGAGCGTTCTGTTCCACCCTCTGGTCACACAGGTCCCTTGAGTTCCTGACAGCACAAACCCCCAGCCTCTCCGCCCCCCAGACGGAAGGAATGAGGCAGAGTCCACCCCACCCCGCCCCCTGAAGCCTGCGTCCAGGTGGCCCCCTGAAGCCTGCCTCTGCAGGGCCGTGGGGGGTCTTTCCTCCCCCTGCCCCCTGCCCGCAGCACCCATCTCTGCCCCCCTCTGCAGAGTCCTTCCAGCCTCARGAAGGATTTATGGGCACACGGAGCCCTAACCGCCCAGCAGGCCCTGCCCTGCGACGCTGCACAATAAGGGTTCTGCCCAGCAGGCGAACCCCGTAACACCCTGGTGAACGTGAGTCACCSACGGTGAGCGAGCCTCGGGCACAGGTGGGAGACAAATCAGACTGTCGGCCTCCACAGCCTGCGACCTTCCACTCCACCATCTCCAAGAACAGAAGAGCAGATGGGGCCAGTGGTCCTGTGCTCCGGTCTGCCTCTGGCTCTAACCCATCCTGGTCCCCAGGACCCCTGTCYCTTCTCCAGCAGCCTGGGCTTCTCCAGGGGACCCTGGCCACGAGAATGTCACCTCATGGAAGCAGGGATTTTGTGCACTCACAACTGTCCCCTCTGTGCTTAGCACAGTCCCTGGTACGGGGCAGGTGCACACCTACAGTCCTTTGCTGAACTGAAAACATTGCTTATCTATGACGTGCCCGTAACTCCGCGCSGTCTGTTGGACTCTCCCTCCCTGGATCGCTCTAACATTTCTGTGAAAACTCAGTTGGCTGCTTGTGAGTTCTCTGCTCTGTCCCACTGGTCCGTGTCTGTACCTCCACCAATTCAACCCAGTCTGATTAGGGGAGCTACATAGTAAGTCTTGAAATCAAGTTGGCCAATTGCTCCCACTTTGTTTTTCTTTTTCAAARTTATTTTAACTCTTATAGTTTCTTGGCCATTCCATGTATTTGGAGGATAATTGCATATATCTATAAMTCATTCTGATGGGATTTTTATAGCAATCGAAATGTAATCTATATATCAGTTTGGGGAGGACTGACATCTTTATATTGTTGTCTTGCAATCCATGAACATAGTATGCCTCTCTGTGTATTTAGAAAAAAAAAATTTCTTTCGTCGGTCTTTTGTAACTCTCAGCATAAAAGGTCTTGTACATGTCTTGTTAAATTTATTCCAAAGTATTTCATTTTTTGTTGCTATTTTAAATTGTAAATTATAATTTCAATTTCAATTTCCAAAAGATTATTTCTAGTATACTAAAAAAAGGATTTTTGTGGGTGGATCTTGTATCCTGTGACCTTGCTGGACTTGTTTATTAGTTATAGGAGTTTGTTGGTAGATTTCTTGGGGTTTTCTGAATGGATCATCATGTCATCTACAAAT